AAAAGCTCCCCTCGCACCGAGCCTCCGGTTGGAACATTTTCCTTTGAGGAGATCGGAGGACGATGCAGATATACTCGAGCCACCCCAAACAAAAACCGTTCGCTCCCCCCCAACTCCCGCCCTTTATCAATAAACTCCGCCTATAATCAGAACTAATTAGCATAAACAAGTTATATAGACGCGGACGATCCACGGCAGCTCGTCCGGAGTTGCCGTTCCGTGTCGGCGGCCCTTTCCCCTGCCCGAAGGTGGACGCGGAACTGTAGGAGTTCGTGACCTAAAGTTGAGCCCTTTGGGGGCCTGTTTCGTTATTATACCGTCGCGCAGGAGTTGTGGACACTGCGCGATGCGATTCCTCCCCGCCATATCTCGGCTACTGATTTTAAAAATACTGTACTATCACAGTTTCGAAAAGAAACTATACCAGCAGGAAGGCTTCGGACGCTGGCACTCTTCTTTCCCTTTGGACGTTTATTGGTTAAGAAACAATCCCGCGCATAGATTTTTTTCTCTCTCCTCCTTCACAAAACCACACTTTTTATAAAACATTCAGTCACAAAGATGTATTCGATACACCAAAGAAAGTCTGAAGGAAAGCATACGAAATGGCCCAAGTGATGTTAATGTAACTTGATTTTAAAATACTATAATGCAAGTCAATTCACACACCTTAAACTATTGGCTGCAACCCCAAAATAATGTCAAATAATTTTGGACTTTTAATTGTTCACTGGACCAATGGTACATTGGGACAATAAAGCTTTAAGACATACCATAAAGTTGATTATTAGTCATTAGTATCAAGACTGGCTTGGGCATTACACTTCAAATATTCTGTAATGATTTGAAATCAATCAAACTGATGGTCATCTTGCAATTAAACTCCCATTTTCAGAGAAACCACTCAAATGCAAGTAAACTCTTGTAAGACTTTAGGAAGTGAAGCCTTTTAAATATGGAACTAGGCATTACATAGGATGCAGCTTATACAGTAGATAGCATTTTTAGGAGATCAGTATGATCCTAAGTCCAGTTACTCCAGAGTGGGTTCCGCCATGTTTAATGGAATGTACTCTTTAATAAACTAGACTATGTAAAAATACTATGGCCCTACTATACTTCTTTCAACTTGTACAACCCACCATGTTACACTTGATGTTCCAGCCCATTAAGTCCTAGTGAATTTAATAGGGATTACTCCAAAGTAGTGGCACATTGGATAAATACAACCCAAAGGCTTTAGTTCTAAATGTATTTTTATAAGGCAGCTGGATTCTGTTTAAGCTCAGTTGGACTTTTATGCTTATGGCTGAAAGGCTAACCTCTTAATTATGAAAGAAGCAACCTCCTTCTTTATTTGTAAGTTTTAAAAATTTTCTTTGCCACAGTACAGAATGATATGAAGCCAAACTGAACATTCATAAAATGAATTCATCCACAAATAATTTATTTCCAGTGTCTGAGATCAAGATTTACCTCTACATGGAACTAGATAATTCTTTGGAGCAGAAATCTGGATCTTTTGGACACAGATGGCAGATAGCATGGCCGAATTTTAAGCAAAGGCCAAATGAGCTATACGTTCCTTTAACTAATGCACATGCAGGTTAAGTCTGCATCACCAAATTTAACAGTAAAGCAGCTGCCAGAGATCAGCATGAGAATGTCAGATGTAGCCTAAACTCCCACTCCTGTTCTGTTCCATTCCAAGTAAGTACAAGGCGAGTCTCAGAGAGCAGAACCCAACACTGCATCTCTCTCTCTCTCTTTCACTCTTTCTCTGACACATACAAAAACGTGCCACATTTCAAATACTGTAAATAACAACCACATGTGAAACCTACCCATTTTCCCTTCCTTGAATTTCTAGGTTAACCAAAACAACTCATCCGGGCTCATTCAGCCACCTCTTCAAAGAATCCTGGCCAATAAAAATATTTCAGAGAATCATGCAGCATCCAGAAACTGGTTCCACTGGTGTAACTCTGTATTGTTGGCTCCCGACCTGAAGCTCTGCACCCAAGTAATCTGTAGTAGTTGCAAACAGCTCTTGTCAGTTTATAAAAGGAATAACAGAAGCTCATAGCTCCATCCCGGCAGGAGCTTTTGCAGCTGCTCTGACCAATTGCACCAAAGAATGACCAAGAAAGCTATGTGGTCGTCCAGATCCCACATACACTGGAGCTTGCTGGATCATGGCAGCCTGTGTTGTTCTCCTGGAGCTTGCTGGATCATGGCAGCCTGTGCCGGAGCAGTGTTGTTCTTTTGCTTCTAGCTTCCTATATGGAACAGTTCCACAGCTGGTAGCTACTGCAGGACAAATACCCAGATCACAAGAAGGCTGTAGGAACAGAAGAGTAGCTGCAGACAGTAGTTCTCTTGCCATTCTGTAGCCAGCTAGACAAATGAACGGCATCTCTGCAAGCAAATGAGCCATCTCTCCTCTTTATTATTTTAAATATTTATCTGTTCCAGTATTATTCCACAGTCCTTCCAGAGAGCAAAAGGCAGGGTACTGGATTCTCTTTCCTGTTCTGCCTTCACAACACTCCTATAAGTCAAACTGAGAGATCACTCAATAAGTTTCATGGTTGATCAGATACAGTATTTGAACCCAGGACTCTCAAATCCTGCTCTTAACCAGCACACCACATGATTACATCTGAGCAAAGTTGTCCAGTCTTAAGTTGCAACTAGAGTAGGCCCACTGAATCGGTGGAATTTATGGAGGAGTTGGCTCACC